ATCGCAGGCAACGAGCGAGGATCGACCGTCGTAATAACCCGCTTTTAGTCACATATGCGTGTCTTATCAGCTAAAATGAAGGCTGCGCAAAGAAACGGGGCTAGAATATATTGCTTTACACGGGCGAAATATTACACCGGTATGAAATGGCACGAGAGGTGTGTATAAGACGTGTACAGAAAAATCTGATTGTTTTAAGTCGAAAACATTGAGCCACGCAGTCATCGCTGTAGAAATGCATAATTTACACATAATTGCTTCTACAAAATTGCGAGACAGACACTGATCGGACAATGCAAATTGGATCCCATTAAATATCAGTCAGACGTAGCCAAGCTGGACAACGCTGGACATGTGTCACAATTATGTAAGCGATGTTAACGCTTGCAGTCAATGAATTCTTGCATTATATCCCGGCCACATGGCAAAATTAATGTCATTTAGATCGAATGACACGATGGGGCCGGCAAATCAGTTCGCGACCCCCGTATTATAGTCACTCAGCGTTTCGAACTGATTCGATCCCATAATATCACTTTGTGCAAATATATTAACTTTTTCGTGTGGCAAGGGCACTAAACGTACTATTTACAGTGAACTAACCGACTTCTCTTCATGGGCTCGAGCTGCCATAGAACAAAATATAATTTAATTTTTATTCAATAATACTATTACCCTAATACAGCTAGGACGGTAGTATAAACGCAGTAGAGGCAATACAATAGCATTAGTATAAATAAAACACACAAGCGCAAACAACGCACTTTTATGGATCGCACATTGCACAGGAATAACCAATAAAAACAAGATTCCATTCTATCACATGATTAAAGCAACCGATTGCGGTACTCTACTCGCGCCCTACATGACCAAGAAAGCCCGTTAATAAGTTATTCCTCACCTGCCGAAGACGTTACTAAAACAGTCAGTTGAGAAACTGCCATAGAGACTAATCTGAAAAAGTGGCCCCGATCTGTCCTCCTGAACCGAGCTAATGACGAACACAACGCCGCCATTTCTCCCGCAGCGGCCACTCGAGGAACTGCACGTTACTTCTACTTTGGCTTTAATCGGCCATTTTGGAGCCGACACAGGTACAGCGGAAGAGGTTACAAGGGTGCCACCCCCGCCTCCCCAGCGGACGCGCCGCGACTTACTACCCAATTTAAAATGCACCTAGGTCGTCCCGACCTAGGTGCAACCTGAAAGCACCGGTGAGGCATGGTTGTATAAAAACAATATTAATTGAGCCGCAAAACCCTGCAACCTAAAGATTTTAAAATCATCACGCGCCCATCATTTTGTACTAAACTCCAATAAAAGTTACTACAAAAAGAGTTCATAATGGAACAGCGCGAATTTTTGCAAGGACAGAAGAAGGTCCTTGCAAAAATTCGCGCTGTTCCATTATGAATCCATACCAACTCGCCCAGTTATCCTGTTTACAAAAAGAGTCTTTCCCGTTTGTTTTTACGCAAAAACATGCTTTCTAAAAGCTCAGAGAGAGAGAAGTGTTGAAAAGAAAGGAAGCCTGGAACTTATTAACCACACCGTCGATTGGGGGCAAGCCAGTTCCAGGTTGGGGATGGGGAAAGAGGGGATCAAAAGAAAAGATTAGAAAGGTGAAGAGGAAGAGGAAAGCTCAAGGTGACCACAGTACAGACAAATGATAAAGAGTGGCGCTGTTGTCGTATTTAGCTCGGTCTCGGTGGACGCCAGCGGCCCAGGTCTTGACGGCGAGTTTCCCAACTGAGTGTTCTAGTAACGTTGCCTGCCGATCATATTCCTACGTCCCGCAATATCCCTCAGAAACAAATCTGAACCGGAACTCCATGAACACTCGCTCCCTGTCGAAAGAGAGAGGTCTATCGATAATCCACCAGTGTGATATTTGACTAGTGGCCACACATGTTTCTCACACCGTAGCAGGACCGCGAATCTACGTAAATGCCGCAGTATCAAAAGGACACAAAAGAACCACTCACGAGAGCAGCGGCAGAAGTGTGGGATGAAAGTACCGAAAGGCGAACGAAAATCGAAAACACACCTCTCGCTCGTGTGCGTCCCCTGCGGCGGTGAGAGTACTTTTTTCGGTTCTCTTTTCTTCTTAAATGTGTAGCAGCACGCTACAGCGAGTAAAGAAGACGAAGAACACCAGCTCGAGAAAAACACCATCACTTGCACGCGGGGGCTCGAGATGAGAAGGCGAAGGGCTACGCAGTCCACGTTCCACGATCTTTAGATTTTGGCTCTTTTGTAAATAATGTAAATATACAATTTGTTAGCAACTGAGAATATCTTTCTTGCTACAAATGTATCGCCGTTCCTTTTCAGACACTCCGCAGCTCAGACACAACGTAAATTTACCAGAATCGGGGCACGCATGAAGGAAGAAATTATCGTCGCCGGAGCCAGTTCATTGGAAATGTGTGGGGAGCTGCGAGACCGAACTGTGGTACCAGTTATGGGATAATCATGTATTTCGATCTGGTACTTTCAACCTTGGTAACGCATTGTGTATTACGTTTATATTATATATAGAATAAATTGTGCAAGACTGCGCTTTAAAAACGCTAACTGCCCAAGAACGAACCGCCTGACATTAGTGGGCAGACGACGCGGAAAAAGAGAAACAGAGTGGGCGCCTCTTCTCGACGTGGCCTCCCACCTCCCGTCTCTGTGACGTCACGACTCGGAGCGCTACGGCCTTCATTTAGATGCTGACCCACCGCCCTTTCCCTCCATCCCCTGCTTCCCTCTCACAACGACTCTCTTCTCTCTCTCCCTCTCCCTAACCCGCTTCCCACGGTCCCTGCCTTAATCTTTCCATCCCTTTCCTTTCTCCCCACCTCCCTCTCCTCGCCTCTCTTCTTCCCTCCTCCTTCGGCGCCCTCTTACGGTGCGAGCACCAAGAGCAAGCGCCATCCGATAAGCCCCATCAAGTGCAATTGCACCTTCATTGCACCTCGAAGGCACACTGGCCTTTTGCTTAGCTCTACGAACAGAAACCTATAGGAAGTATTCATCGGCGGCCATAGTTGTGTGCGCGACTGCTGAGCGCGTGCTCGAGCTTCCACGGTTCTTTTGCAACGTGCATTCCACACCATCAGAATTGCCGGTCTTAGCGGCCTATTAATGTGGGCTCGTTCTGAGCGTGCGCTCTAGACAGCACCCGCAAATATGGCACCCAGTGAATACTCCTTATATGTTGTTGTTTTAATGCGGTAACATTTGAACGCTCGTTTTTACGAATACCCGGCGGTGTCTTTCGTTTGTCAGCGCCGGGGAAAGAAGGAAAAGGAGGGGGAGAGTGTGACGCGTGCGACGCTCCCATTGGTCCGATGCGCTGAAGTCAGCACGCGTCAACCTCTCCCTCTCTCCCCGGCGCGACAAACTGACAGACACCGCCTGGTTTTTCTCAAAACGAGCCCCGTCGCTTTCGGCAAAGTCTCACGCACAGCTGGAGCGGAACTAGACAGGAAGATGAGCCGCGCAATATTTCTCATATAACAAAGCCGCAGCGCTGAATGAGATAGTGAAATCAGAGGACCCTTAGGAGCATTACATGCACGTCATGTCTCCTAATACTCTAACCACGTTTCTCGTTTCTGGTTCTCTTCGATTAGGATTTTAAAGGCATCCTGTTCCTTTGCCTCCCTTGATGTGGAGAACTCCGTAGAGAGCCTCGAAAAACTCCAGGAGTCCATACCGGTGTCACTTCTGCTCGCCGAGGAAGTCCTCTTCAGCCAGGTATGCGGACTTCTTGCCCAAAGCTTGCACCTAGTTGAGGTTATAGGCGGGTAAAGGCTGGCCCCACACACGCGACAGCGTACGCCCGAGTGCCTTACAACATCTTGAGATACCTTACCAAAAGAGAACACACTAGCGCCATCTCTTGGGTGGCCGCGGAACGCTTCTAATGTTTGGTAAATTTCTTATTTCTTCAGATACTATTCTTTTTTTATTTGCTTGAAACACTTTTCGCAAGGTTATATCGAACTATTTCCCATAGACAATTCGAACGCTTGATCTCGCAAACATTTTGTTCCCTCGCCGTAAGAGATTCCGAAACGTTGGTGTTAAGCAAATGCCAGTGCGCAAACCAGGCTTAAGAATGGAGGACAAGCTCCTCTTACAAAGCCCTTCGCTCTTTCCGCATTAGCGGAGCGAACGCTAAAGAGGAGGCGTGTCCATCTTTTCCTCCTCTCCAACGTTCCCTCTACTAAAGTGGAAAGAGTGGAGGGCTTTGTGGGGAGGACCTTGTCCTAGCTGCACTCGTAACTTGTCAAAGACCAAAGAGATACAGCACTGTCTGGTTAATATGGACTGCTCAGTTCTCTCAGAATGTGTCCATAACACGAGGTGCACGTAATAGCAAAACAAAAAACATGTAAGTATTCGCTCACTTCGTCCCCGAAAATAAAGACTTTTAGAAACGGGGACCCCGGCGCTATGGATGCCCCGAGCAACCTGGGGAGTTGCACTGGGCATGCGCAATACGACGCCCCTAACGGTATGAGGCGCCCAAGGGTTAGGGCCCCCAAATTGAAAACTCCCTAATGTGGTCTATATAGCGAGGTCTCCATATGAATTGGGTCCGTATTAATGATGCATGATTGTAATTGAATTAGCTAACATTTTATACGACTTATTTGATTGATATATTTTTGTTTCTAAAAGTAATTTTCTTTATTTCAATGCCGGGCAACATCGTTTAACAAGTCGAACATCGACTTTTGACCAATGTTCGAAAGATAGCCGAATCAGTCGAACCTTGAGGTATATCGTCGAACCTCGGGTTAGAACCTCGGGTTTAACCAAAATTCGCAGCATCCCTAGTTGAGAGATAATAACTCACAGTTTCCAACTTTCAGAGCCCCTTGTCAAAGAGCGGCTCATGGAAAGTCCTAGGAAAGGTGCTGAACCAGACCCATGTTCTCGCAAAGTGTCTCGGCACCGTGACTGACACTAAGGCTTCAGAAAGGTCGGCGGATCCGGAGATGGCTTACACAATGTGGACTTCGGGATCAACTGGAGAACCAAAGACGGTGCAGGTGCCCCACTGTTGCATCGTACCTAACGTGCTTCACTTTAGGTAATAGTACTCTCCCATCTCAATACTTTTTATAGAGTGTCGAAATACTCAGGCTTTGATCTTCCCGACATGCTGTGCATTATCTCTAAATTCAAAGTACCTAAAGAGAAAAAAGGCAAATGAAGGTTATGAAAAAACTAAGATTGAAATCTTCCCAGGCTCTCTATCGGAGCCACGCCACGCAATGCATAACTTGCAAATCCAGCAGGCTGCCTAACAAAAGCAGTATTTGGTGCGTTTTGTTCATTCATTCATACATTCATTCATTCATTCGTTCTTTATTTCTTCCTGCGGATTTGGTCCGCAGACCGGGGGGGGGGGGGGGGGGGGGGGCTTAAGGCAAAAATAGTGAATCTGACAAGGTCTTAGCTCCCTCTTGGCCTACAACACGTGACATAAGAACAAAGTGCTCACAAGACAAACACTTTCAATATGAGTTATAAAAGTCTATACAGAAAGCACAAATAAGCACAAAAAAAAATGTCATACCAGTGTACGAGTCATACCAGCGTACAATAGCTTTTTCCACAATATTGTTCTGGAATAAAATAAAAATTAAAGTGCAAAAAATATACGTAAATGTTCAACAGAATATCGAATTGAAATTAGAAAACAGAGAAATACCGAAGAAAATAACATCTACACAATCAAGAAAAATATCTCTACGCATAAGTGAGAAGAACACATAAAAATATGGGCAAGTTTACGATATAATCTGAGAGGCACAACAAAAACTCAGAAACTTTTAGCTGTTTATAAATTCACATGGTATACGGCACTCGATGCAATAATCATTTCCAGTAGAGTAAAACCCCAAAACAACATTCACAGGAAACAAAATCACTGGTAGCAAGATACTCTATAATATTTCGTTTAAACTGCGGTATAGACACTCAATAACTAATTTCAAACTCCTCGCGACTTCGGAAGGTTGCAATTTGAAAAGTGAAACTTTGTCACCCATAGTTTCTTCTTATACAAGGTAATTTGCGTTTCGGACACTGTTATACACTGCTGATTGTTGATCATAGGGTGTCAGGTAGGATTGATTCATATGGATTATTTGCAGCAGTTGGAAATAATATATCTGATTGACCTTCAGAATATTATGTTTAAGAAAAAGTGGATCAATGCGCAAGTTTCTATATTCTCAGATGTAGTTTCTGTTCATTCTTAAAACTTTTTGTACAGTTAATAATTTCATATAATCTAAAGTGGTTGTCGTACCCAATATTAAAACTGCTTAACTTAATTTGGAGTAAAATAAAGTAAAATATATATTCGTGTGTAGCCAGAGCGGAACAGTTATTTTTTGTATTTTAACAGAATGCCAATAGTTTTACAGAAATCGGCATTTAGCTCGGCAGTATGGCTATTTCAGGAATGATCTTCCGTAAATCAAACACCAGGAAATTTTCGCTCACTCAGTTGTTCCAATATCGAGTTTAAATTTTAAGTTTTTGGATTAAGTCTTGTTTAAACATTATGTATTTAGTTATGTTTGTGTCCAATTGAAGTTCAATTATTTGTAGCCATATTGTAAGAGCTTTAATAGATAAAAGTTTGTTGTGCTTTCAACTTTTTGTTTAGTTAAGCCACTAAAATATATGCTTGACTCATTAGCTTACATGATTACTTCCTGCGGACCGGGTATCATTGTTAAATCATTCATGTATATCAGAAATAATAAGGGGCGTAGGGTGGATTCATGGGGAACACCGTGCTGTATTTTCTCTCTTGGAGGAGGGTCTTTTATTGACGGTGACAAATTGATAACGATCAGGCAAATAACTCTTTATTAGTGTTAGCGCTGCACCACAAATGTCATATTTCTCAAGCTTCCGCAATAATATTTCGTGCTGCACTGTATAAAAAGCCTTCCTTAGGTCAAGAAAGATTCCCACAGTGTAAAATTTATTTTTCTTAAAATAATTTTTTTTATTTTAGATGCCAAGAGCTTGCTCTGTAGACCGATGTCTTTGAAATTCATCGTCGCCTAAGATTATGATATTGTTCTTAATAAAAAAAGCCTTCAAGCCTATTATTTATGATGGTTCCAAATATGTTTTGAAAATATACACAAACGGAAATATGGCTTTTGATTTCTCGTTAAAGCAAGTAAAAAAAAAAGAGAAAAATATCGCTTCGTTCGTAAATTCTAGCTAATCACAAAACGCCTGAATTTGTGTGTAACCTCCCTTTTAATAATTTATATCCAGTCGGTGCTAATACGTTTGAACAAGCTCGATTGAAGGTGACTTATTCTAAAAGTGAGATCGATAAGACATCTTGCATTCAGACCGCTGTCTGTTTATAACGGAAAATGCGTTTCCCACCAAACTTGTTTCGAAATTATGCTAATGAAAACTCCCTTGTATGCGGTAAATAAAACCTTCGAGATTACGTTTATGCATTTCTTAACTCGACCATGACGTCAATTGGTATCCGGTTTTAAGGGGTGGAAAAAAATATTAAGCCAAACTTGGTGGCTCGAATTCTCACCGTTCTGAAGACGTCTACTCAGCTCTGTTAAAACACAGTAACATAGCTAACACATCATAAAAAACGCAGTGTTCGCTAAAAAACACGATTTTAGAATTAGTATCTGCGCACAGGACTCGGGCATGTTTAAAACATGTGCGCTCCAAACATGTCTAAAGAACATGTTGTTATGACCGACGGTTTTACGCACTTTTTCATCACGGTCTTTCATGTTTCCACTTTAAAAACAAAATATTGTTTCTGCAGGGAGATTTTCAACATCACGCCGGAGGACGTCATTTGTGGGCCGTGTCCTCTGACCTTCGATCCCATTGTGATACAAATGTTCTTGGCGTTGACATCGGGAGCGACCCTACTCCTCCCGTCCGATGTTATCGGGGAGAGACCTTCAGAGATTGTTAAGCTTGTGACGGCCCACAAAGTTAGCTTCCTGCAGGTAAATATGCCTTTTCTGATGATTGCTGCTTAGATGTTCGCAGCAGTAATCTGCTACTCATCTGTACGTATTCAATCCATAGTCTCCGCAAAAACAAAGGACAGGCACAACGAAACACGAGACAAGCGTTCTTAACTTGTACTAGCTGAGAAGAAAAATGTCGCAAAAACGATACTCGTATTGCACATTGATCAAAATGGTTAGTCTTAATATATCCGTGTTCATCGTCATTTACTTTTTTAGCGACAGCTTGAAAATTTAAAAGAAAGATTTACTAACAAGAAAATGCGTTACGTTAACTGGGTCGCCAACAAGCAAAATATAGTTCTTATTTAGACTGGCATGTACGTTAAGCATTATATTGTCACATTATGTTTTGGTGCTGCAAAATTTAACAAAAGTGTCCTGCAATTAACACCGGTAGATGTTCGTTCCTGAAAGATGTGCTTTAGAAGGTTTGCTCCTTGAAGAGAGGTTTGGTGCTCTGTCCTTTTGCGAGGCGACGTGCAGGATGCGGAGATTTTTAGAACTACACACATCTTGGCCGGGGAACTCTTGGACCAGAACGGGGACTGCATTAGTTTGCGCTGGTATCAGAAACAAGGACCGGCCGCACACGTCGCACGAAGGGAGTTGTCCACGAATGTCCTCTGAAATATCGCCGCTGCGATGTGAACGAAAATAGAAGTGACGTTATCTGGAAAGTCATTAATATTATTTTAGAGCAAAACGGTCAAGAAAACTTTATCAAAGAACTTGTAATTGAAGGAAATACGTTGACGGGGTAAATTTAGGAAATACATTCCGTGACTATTTTACGGATCTATTTTCTCCCGTTCAATTAGCAAGTGGTGGCTTGTGTTTAACTCAAAGCATCGCAGAAAATTAGTTGTTATTTTATACCGATAAGAATGAAGTACTTTGGGCGTATTTAAACCTTAAGAAAAGTAAATGTATCAATTTGTGGAATACAGGTGCAGCTGGTAAAAAACGTGATTGACATTATTACGCCCTGTCTCACGCATATTTTTAATTTGTCGCTCTGGACTGGTGTTTTTCTTAGGGGTATGAAGATTGCGAAGGTATCTGTTTTATATAAGTCCGGAAATAGAAATATTATGTGCATTTACAAAACAATTTTCAATCTTGCCCGTTTTTTTTTTTTGAAGGCTTCGAGAAGACTCTACATGGAAGACTTAACATTTATTGTGAAAAAATGCGATACTTGCTGATTTTCAATATGGCTTTCGAAAAGGTCGCTCCACAGAACTGGCTTCTCTACAGCAAAAATAAATACTCCAAAGCAATATTGCAAATAAAAGTGTAATGTTGCGGAATTGTATTGATTTCTCGACAGCCTTTGGCCGGCTGAATTATAAAATTTAACAATAAAAACTTACTTTTTATGGAATTCGAGGGCATTCTTTTGCAATATTTCAATACTGTATAAGCAGCAAACAGTTGAAATAAATGGGTTTTCTTTCATTACTGAAACTAGTGCGAAAGGGGTACCTTAAGGTGCTGTTTTCGGACGACAGCTTTTTAATTTGTTTCTAAAAGATATAGTCGCCATTGCAAGTAATACCCGATTTGTCATTTATGCCGACGATACTAGTATATCTGTTTCTAGGGAACAATATTGATAGGTTGGTTTCCGATGCAAAAATCAGCTTAGAGAAGCTTAGTTTGTGAAAAGTTTCCAATTTATAAAAAAAAATTAAAGTAAAACAAAAGCCGTTATCTCTAAATCAAAAGGTGCAGTGTACAATGCTACTGCAACGTTAATATTGAATTCCTTGTAGTTGTTGAAAAAATTTCGGATCACGAAAACGGGATCACGAAAACGGGATTGGTTCGCAAAATCATGACGTCACGGACACGCTTAGACGCGATTGACATTGCTTTCCTCGCGGAAGATTGGCATTTCCATTAAGGAGCATTTTTCACTCCGTTATTGAGTTGTTACCTACTCTACGCGGCGATGCTTGTATCCACCACTGATGGCGTTTAGAAGGGAAGTCCCAGCCTTGTCTTCTGGCTAGTGTTGGATGACCACACCAGTGTGGGATGCCTTCGAGGCACCATAGATGTAATGCTTGAATCCAGCATAAAGCAGCAAGGCAGCGTTCGGTTATGCGCAAGTCCCGGTCAGTTTGCCAGCATCAGCGTGGTATAGAGCGCCTAAAAGAAGCAAAAATCTGAAAATTATAAAACATGCAGCTTTTTTCTTTTAGTCTTATTTAAGCAATAAGAATGTTTTTCTTCTAGCTTTCTTTCTCGTTGACATATTTCTGTCCACCAATATGATCAATAAAATCCTGCCGGTTTAGCGTACGCGAGCAACGTGGCAAAGCGTAACTACGCGCAGCCGAAACGCGACCAAACTCACTTTTCTATTTTGCTCACCAGAGGTACTCCCCAAACTTGAAAGCAGAACAGTATCGCGATTCAAATGTATCGCAATAGCATCTCGCAGATATTTTTGAGTATCTGCATCTCTGCATCGAGAAACATTTGAGAAATGTATTTGTATCTCAACGGTGAAGTACTTTTACGAGGCATGCATTTTCTCGCGATACTTAGTCACGCTTAATTATTTCGATGCATTCTTGTCAAACATTTACTGGTGCAAAGGGTTCTAAAATTTCAAAATTTTTCATTTGAAACCGCCATATAACATCATTTAAACGTGTGTCTTTGTGTCGGGGAAGGGGGGGAAAGATTGCCTTGCACAATGCACAAAGGAATCAACAAACTTGAAATAAAAGTCGTTCGAAGAAAGATCAGTTGGCTCAGTCGTTTCTCCCAGGTCTCTCGTTTCCTGTAGATTCCGTGGGCCCGCTTTCTTGTTCAATATCTTTTTCTCGCCCTCACCCCTCCCCTTTTCCAGGGTTACTCGGAAAAACTTTAAACCAAAGTTTACGACGCACCCTAGCATTTCAAAGTTACCGGTTAATGACCGACGACCAGTTCGCGCTTTCCACTTTTCGCCCGCTTCCTCCTCTCCCTCCTACCCTTTCCACCCACGCCCGCCCCTCTTGGTCCCTTCTTTCCATCCTTCGCTTCCCTCGCCCGAAGGCGTGGAGAGGAGGGTCTTCTGCCTTGCAGAATCTCGAGTCTGGTCGTCGGCCTTTAAGTTATGTTCCAAATAAGAAAGGAGGCAAAGCAGGGCTCATTTCGGGCAGACCACGTCTACGTCTTCTACGACTCCGGAGAAACTGATTCTTTGTCTTTTCAGGAAAATCAGAACACAAAAATGTGAGGGCGGAAGTTTTTCGCTTCGTTGTCGAACACCACAAATGGTGCCTCAATGCTCCAGAATTTCCCTTCCATCAAGGTGGTATTTATACATTTCGGCACCGGTAGAGAGGCTTTTTTTTTTTCTTCTCGCTAGTCTGGTATTGCGACGAAATCGTCGGTGCCGTGGTGATAGGCCCTTTGAATTATGCTACTGATGCTGAAGTGTAAGCAGTTCACTTTCAAAGTTAGCAAATTCGTTTTCTGATCAAACAAACATTTGTATCGCTTGACGATTCGAATGCTCCAATTTCGCTAATATTTCATACTTGCTATACAAATGAGGTTGTTTGAAATGCACTTCGTCATTATATTCATACGCGCAGCATGGCGTAATTAAGGGGAAAAAATATTCAGTATGTATCTGTATCTGTATTCCGGGATACTTTTTGCACACTTTTTTAAAAAAACATCTCATGCATATCTTGTTGCGTAAAAAAATCTACCTCAGTATTTTTATATTGGGCCTTAAAATACACGTATTTCAGTATTTTCTGTTCCGGCATACATTTTTGGAGCACTTTTGCCAGGCCCTGCTTAAGAGCTTCCGGTTTATACATCTAAAGCTTTATTAAACTGGTCATTTCCGCGTAGGCAACTCCTAGCTTCTTCTTCACCATCGGAGCCGACATCGTGAAGAAATCCCTGCTGTCCCAGGACACGAGCCTTCGAATCCTTGTTCTGATAGGCGAAGAGTGTCCTCCAGTTAGCGTGCTCAAGCGCTGGAAGAGCAATGGAAATGCGACGGAGTTCTTCAACGTGTACGGCATCACCGAGGTGTCGTGTTTTGCCACCTGCCAAAAAATTGATTTCGGAACAGATGGGTATGTAAGCACTTTTTTCCTGATCAATTCCTCAGCAGCGCTTCAGCAGGTTTATATAGGGCGGTCTCGTACGTGACGTACAATTCGGGATGCAAAATTTCCGAACATTTTGAAAGTCGAAAAAATTAACGAAGAAGTGAGGGTTTATTTCTCTTAGATATTAGAAACAGTAAAAATTTGTTTCACCAGGAGTAATCCAGGAAACTTTTGAAGGATACCGACATAGATCACCAACGGCAATAATATTGTGAAGTGTTAGGCGGTAGCACTATTACATTATATTATTTTTTGAAAGTTGACGAGAGCTTTGTCAATTTAGCAGATTTTGCACTACGCATCTGGCAATAGAAATAAACTCTTCATCATATTAAATGCCGCATTGGGTTTACTGCAATGCTTAACTAGTAGCCACCATTCGTCCATTTTAATGTTATGTTACGCAAAAGTGTGTACATGTGGTGGTGCAGAAGCAGAGGCACGGTTGCATGTTAAGGCCAAGTCACACAGTTGCGTTTAACTCCGACCGCCTAACCGCTCATTCACACTGCAAGCAGATCCGCGTTCGCGAAGCGGTTGCGAAAGCGGTTGTATAAAGATCCAGCACAATGTTTCGCGCACTCGATTACATCAAGTGCGCGTGCAATTGTACTGTATCTTTATACAACCGCGTCCGCAACCGCTTTGCGAACGCGGATCCGCTTCCAGTGGGAATGAGCGGTTAAACAAAGCCGGTATTTAAAGTCTTGTGGCGGCCTTGCACCGGCTGCGCTGCTTCGGAGCCGGTGGTAAACCGTGAGGAACGGCTTAAAAACCACTTTTTAGCCTGTACAGTTGTACAGGCTAAAAGTTGTACACTTCGAAACTGGGGGCCTCCATCAGTCACCACTTCTTCGGGTAGTCCAAACTGTGCGAAGACAGCCATAAGTTTCTCGACTGTCGGGGGTGCGGTTGTCCTCTACGACCCTAGTCTACACTGCACAATTGATCTTTGCTTCTGTCTACAGCCTGTCGGCATTCTTCCGACCAATGCTACTTCTTTTCTTTCTTTAAGAATTCATACAAAGGTCCCAGTTTGGCAGCTAAGTCTGGGAGGAAACGAGCATAAAAAGCTAGCTGCCCCACAAATGCCTTAACCTCCGTCACGTTACTCGGTGCGGGTGCCTTTTTGATAGCCTCTACCTTCTCAGGGCATGGCTTCAAACCCTGGTCACTCAACAAGTATCCCCAGTAACGCACTTCGCGTACAGAAAATTGACACTTGTCCTGATTCACACAAAGTCCATGTTCCTGAAAACGTTTCAACACTTCCAAGACTCTCTGGTTGCAGTCATTTTGGTCTACGCCACCCACAAGTACATCATCAAGATAGCATGCTACCTTGGTTAGGCCTAACAAAATCTTATCCATTACACTCTGGAAAATTGCAGGTGCAATCGAGACTCCGTGAGGCATACGTAAGAACTCAAACAATCCTAGGTGAGTGGTCACTGTGAGCAGTTTCCGCGACGCTTCGTCAAGGGCTAACTGCAAGTATGCAGTCTTTAGGTCCAAAATAGCAAAGATGCCACACCCCCGAAAGTTGTTAAACACCTCATCTACCCTCGGTAATGGGTAGTGATCCACCGTCGCCTATGGGTTTACGGACACACTTTAGTCACCACAGATGCGAACTTTACCCCTTGGCTTGGGAACCACGACAAGGGGTGTTGCCCATTCACTACTTTCTACAGGCCTCAGAATGCCCAGCGCCACCATTTTCTCAAGCTCACTCTCTACTTGCTCTCTGAATGCGTATGGCGCCACTCTGTGTTTACAAAACACAGGTTGAGAGTTTTCTTTCAGTACAATCCTTGCCTGAAAACCCTTTATTGGCCCCACTGGACCTTCAAAGACGCTAGGAAACGACCTTTTCAGTGAGTCTGTCATCGTCTCGTTCTCGATACGACCCACGCCCGACCAGTTAATTTCTAACTGCTCGATCCAGTCTCTGCCTAGAAGAGCTGGCAGCTGGGCATTCGCGGATTTTACCACAATCAAAGGTAACTTTTCGCTTGGTAGCTCCCCGTTTTTTTTACATTAACGCTAGCTACACCCTTAATTGGCACTAGAGCCCCGGTGTACGTCCGGAGACGGATGTCACTCGCCTCAAGGGGCACGTGAGAAAACAAATTCACATACATTCTTTCTGGCATCAAAGTAACTGCTGAACCAGTGTCGATTTCTATCGTCACCGGTTTTCCTTCCATTTCCAATACCTTCTGGAATGCCGCAGACGCGTCATTGTTCCGCATACAGGTTACGCTCCAAGGTCCGCGCTTAGTGTTCGAAGTAGGCTTAGGCTTGGCCCTACACACCGCATTAGTGTGCCCCTGCTTCCCGCATTTTAAACACTTTACTTTCAAAAACGGACACTTCTCGGAAGCATGCACGGTACTAGCGCATCTAAAACAAGGGCCTACCGTACGCTGATACTGGACCTGTGGCGATGCAGTGGCGGAAGGTGGACACCGGGAGTGTCCTTCACCATCACCTTGAACGCGGTGCACGTCCATCGAGTCCGGAACGCCGGGCTGTCGTATCTCGTCCGTTTTGCGCAGAGAAAGTTCTGTGGCCAGGCCCACCTTCAGAACTTCGTCGAAGTAATCGTCGTCGAGCTGGATGAGTGTCCGCTGTACCTCAGGGTCGTGACACCCCGCAACGAGCCGGTCCCGAAGAGCCTGGTCGAGGTAGTCCTTGAACGCGCATGTCTGGGCGAGCTTCTTGATAGCCAAGGAGAAGTCCGCTAGGCTCTCGCCGACCTCTTGATTTCTCCAATGGAACTTCGTGCGCTCTGCAATCACTAAGCACTCGGGCGCGTAGTGGCGTTTCAGCACCTCGGAAAGTACATCGTACGATTTCGATACCGGCGATTCTGGGACGAGCAAGGTTTTCAGAACCTGGTACGACGCTTTCCCGATGTAGTTCAGCAGCGTCACGGCCTTGTCTTCCGTCTTGACAGCGTTCACTCGAAGGAAAATCTCGAAGCGTTCGAGATACTCGTCGACGTCGTCCTCCTCCGGCTTGAACTCCGTGAACTTCGGCATTGTGCTGTTTGCCACGTTGTTACTCGGTTCGTTCGATCTTCCATCCCATCCTCGTCGCCATTGTTGTGACGCGCCGAAGCGCCAAGGAACAGAAGCTCCCATTCAGAGGAACAGCACACAAAGAACAAATTTAATATGGCGAAGACACATTTTACCGGGCAAAGGCCAGCGCACCCTGGTGGTGAGAATGGGAACCTGTTACATGGCTTTATGCATACACAACACAAGCCTGTCGCCAACATTCCAGGTCAAAATTTCGAGATGCCGAGTGCACTGGATAAGGAGTGGTCAGCTCGACTCCTCGAAAGGCTTTAGGTCTCCCCGCTAATTGTTCGAATCAGAGTTGGACGTTCCGGCGTCCTTGCGCGCGCCCCAATTCTCCTCTTCCTCAGCTTCTCGACAACTTGTAGCTCTCACGCTTTCAGCAGCGCCCCTTGCGAGCAAAATTGAATATTTTTAGGTCGCTTCGTATAAGATTTGTGCGTGCGCAGCAAAGACAAGGACGAAGTGAGGACAAGACGCAACCGAGGAGCAGATTGCGCGTTCATACGCTCCCTCGCGTTGCGGAAAGGCGCCATTAAAGAAAAGCATGAACATGGCAGATAAAAGGAATACATGCTTAGCGTTTAAAAGTAAACATTTCGACTGAACTCCGCCTGGCTAGGTAAGTAATAAGACAGGGTACTTTGTAGACTCTAACCAATATTTTTAATGTACACGACGTTTCGAAGCCGGCTCGGTTCCTTGATCACGGGTGGCTGTGTGTCGGCCCAAAGGTAGCAATCTGTCGTTGTTGTTTTCTTCTTCTCTCTCTTAGCATTGTTTTCTTCTTCTGTTTCTGTCAGTAGCGCATTTTAGCCCCTAGATATAGCTGCTTGGCAGCGTTCCGTTGGATCGGTTCGGATTGTGGTTAGTACATTGTATGTGTCAAGATTCTAACAAGAGACGCTTTCTCCAGTTTCCTTCTCTATCGAGGATGGAACTGCTGTCAAAGCCGATGACGTAGCCGGTCTTCTGAGCATGTTCCGCCAGCGCGTTGCCTTGGATGTCTTTCTTCTTTACGTCATACTTATGTCTGCGCAGACGTTCGGGAAAGTTCTTTGGAAAAGCTCAGAAAACCGGCCATGTCATCGGGTTTGACAGCAGTTCCATCCTCGATAGAGAAAGAAACTGGAGAAAGCGTCTCTTATTAGATACTTGGCACATACAAATGTACTAACCACAATCTGAACCAATCCACCGGAACACTGCAAAGCAGCTATATCCACGGGCTAAGATGTACCACACACAAAAACAGAAGAAGAAAACAATGCTACGAGAGAGAGAAGAAGAAAACAACGACAGATTGCTACCTTTGTGCCGACACACAGTCACCCGTGATCAAGGAGCCGAGCCGGCTCCGAAACGTCGGGCACATTGAAGATATTGGTTAGAGTCTACAAAGTGCCCTGCTCAGCGTTTCGATAGAACATTAGGCCGCATTTTGTTTATTTTATTTTCATTTCTTTTTACGCTCATAAACAAGCGCTGACAGACTCTTGTATCCGAACATGGCTCGTGCATAATCGGACGCTACAGCGCCACCATAATATATGCGCCTTGCAGACGTCGAAGCCAAGATTACATGGTCACGTCTTTTAGATGCGCTCGCGCCCACTGTCCGAGTGCAAGAGGCCTACTGATTGAGAGGGTGTTCGCTCTATTCACAGCGCTGTCCCCCTCGGCGATCCGTTAGATGGAACCTTACTCGAAGTGCGGAACGATTCAGGGGAAGTCATTGAAGAAGGGGAAGGCACGCTTTTCATCGGTAAGTGTTGTACCATCGTACAAGTTAAAATATGGTTCCCAGACGCTCGGAACCGCTTTCCTTTTTTTAAGAGTAAGTACAGTCAACATCCATAACTATGTTCGGGGGCAACTTATCTTGGCAGTGCAGTCAAAGCTAGGAGCACGCGTGCCCTCTTCCCTTTTGAGCGCTGATTGAAGCTGTGAGCGCCAGTCCTCACCTTGGGAACGTCAAGAAACGTTGTCTCCGAGTATAGGCTCATTTTTCAGTGAAAGGACGTGGCGTCTTTGAGCTTATTCTTCTGCTATATTACGATCTATATATATGCCGCAATTTGTTTTACAATACTTGCATCGTCATGCCGTTCGCTGCCATTAAGAATGTAGGGACTTGTTAAAGTTCAAAGAGCAAAAAAGCACGAAAGAACAAAAACAATGGGTTCAATGAACTATTTTTTAACTTTGCCAGGTGAAGAACTCAGCTTGAATTCTTTACATTCAGAAAAAAAACTCGAAGCTAGTGCAGGTTTCCCATCAAATATCGTTCATAGTATGAGTCATTCATCATAAGGAGAAATAAAAATAATATTTTCCCAGCTCGTCCACGAAATCATTGTAGTAACGGAGTACGATATTTACGTGGTCCATATTAAAGTGGCATGACTGTATTACGTTTGGTTTACAACGTCTTGTTTTTCAAACAATGAAGTTGAGCATTGATATAACTTTAGGCCCATTTACTGTTAACTGCGTTCGGCAATAAATTCCTCCGAAAATTATTCCAGCGATTGTACGTTCGCTTACTTATAGATATTATTTATCGTATTCAACTTGATCCCCTCACTGGAGATAGTTCAAACAAAGCACAAAAGGCGGTCCAAGTTTGTACTACGACGATTAAAGGAACCTCTTGGATAATACTGCCGACAGATGTTTCTCTGAGATACTCGGCTCCTAAATGTTCTTAGCAAAACATCGGTTCCAGTCTTCCCGCAGGTTACTCTAAGCTTCGCACGAGGTAGGTCAATGAGCCTTTCCCAGGGTTATCTATGACCATGCGTACTGTTCTTTTCTTCTTTTTCTTTTTTTGCGGGCGTTTATGCGCGTGCGTGGTAGTGTAAAACGCGTTGTCCGCCATTGTGAATGGCGGTTATGGGACGGTATCAGCAGTCAATAACAGCATGGAGCCGAGGGCACCCAAGTGTTTCAACTGCAACACGCCGCAAATATGTTCCGTCTTCTTTTGAAACAGTGGTACAGACGTAATAGCTATTACGGGCTGCAACAGCATAAAAATACCAGACAACAGAGCTGCTGTCTATTGCTGTCGATAATATTTCAGCAACTTTCCCAAGTCTTCATTTAAACAAACGTCTCGTTATAGGTTTTTAGAAGGCCACCAATCACGCTTTCTAATTTGCCGGTAGACGGCGCTGACCATTCGTGAGGAGCCTGACTACCTCAGGAAACTAAAAAACCGTGAATCAAAACGTTTTCAATAAGTAAAGCAGTTTACCTAATAAATTGAGAGGAATGGTGACTGAAATTAAGGGGCGGATAACGGTTAAAAATGATTAAACTCACTTAGACATCATTTAATCTGGAGCTAGAAAATACTATTTGGCTTGGTGGCGCAAGTCACCGCCCGATTCAAGGGGTGCATTCATCCAGTCATCTATCTAAAAGATCAGTTCGTTCAGTTATTGTGGACTCGATATTTCAGGTGGAACCAACCGCCGGTGTCTCGTGGGCAACGAGACGTGGCGAGACGTCGACCCGGTACTCTTTCGAGACTCTGGCGATCGAGTGAAAAAATGCGGGAACGTCTTGACGTTCCTAAATAGGAACGACTCGAGCTTCCAGTACAATGGCCGGAAGGTGCGCGGTGGTCCCGCGACAGCCATCCTGCTCCGCTCGCCTTCCGTCGAAAGCTGTCGGACCCACTTCTCGAAGGAAGAAAAGATGCTGTACATCTTCGTCAAGCTGTCGCCCGGCTGCCTTGCCGAAGACGCCCTGCCCTCCCTGACCAAAAGCATCGAGACGGAGTGCCTCTGCCCGTTCGAAATCCTCCCGTTGAACTCGTCGCCGATGAACACACACGGTGAGCTTTTTGGGATGTCCGCAGTACCGCAAAAAGGAGCCCTCCGTCCGTGGCCCATGGAAAGTTTCTACTTTGTTTCTTCGAACTTTCTAGCGGCTTTTGGCACTGCCACTACACCATACAAAAGACAGTCTGCAGATACTGTGAGCGGCCTTCGTCGCATGAAGGTTCCGTCAAGATGGGGTGTAAAAAAATCTTTCTTGTTGGAAGCATAATGTATGAAGCAAACAAGTTCCGATCAATTCAGTCATCAGCGAAAACCGTGTTTTTTACACAGTTTGGACGGATGTCTTGTCTACGGTACCTGGAACGCGCCTTGGACCGATGTGTTTAGCGTCTTATACCTCCCGCCCATCGGTTTGAAAGTGGTCCCTCAGACGCAACAAATGACGTCACGGAAGCCGGCCTGTCGTGCTGTCAGATGTCGCGATCCTGGCGGTTGGTTTTAAAAATGCTAGCGAAAAAAAGGAGCGAACGCGAGCTTCACTGTCGTCGCGGCGACTTGACTTCTGTCTGACGAAGCTTCCGTGGTCTGTGAGGCTGGAGGGCGACTTGCAGCGAAGCAGGCGTCTCTCGCATCCACCAACGCTGTTCGGACGCCGCCAGGATCGCGGCCCTCGACAACATGCACTTCCATGACGTCATAAAGCGGAAATCGAGGGACCACCTTTTTTGGACGCGGTAAACACATCAGAAGACGCGCGTCAACAACTCAAGGAGACTACTATTCTGTGTACTGGACTAAGCAAACATATTCAAACAGAAGACGTAGTAGTACAAAGGTGAAATCAGAATCTCAACAATAACAAAACAAAAAAAAACACGAGTTTAAGCAAAGATGGTTTTGGGTAAAATAGGAATGGTAAAAGCTACAAGTACAAAGAATAAATTCCGGTTCTTCTTGTATAGCAACGACCACTGCGTCCTCTGGTATTTCGAATCTCATTTGAATGCCCTATCTTGTTCTTGTGTTATGCGTTGACAGCATTCAGATACACTTGCTTGAATACGTAGACACTCTAATATTCATATTATTCGTGAATTGAAATACAAAATTATCACACAAATATATGAGAAGTTTAGAACTCTTAAAATATGAAATAGTTTGCATGTCTGCAGTAATTCCAACCCACATGCCTGAAACTTTATCACTGTAATTTTCTGTAATTTGCACTAAACCAATACTTTCTTTTTTTAAGTAAAAGTCGCGCTTGGCACTACGTGCTGCCTCTCAACGTCAGGCCTTGAGTAACGTTATGTGTATCCGGCGCCTGGTCGAATTCGGCCATTTTTTTTAAGAACAAACAAATTCGACGTTGGCCTCAGACACTGTAAGGCCGGTCTACCTTTGAGGTATGGCGACACTGGTTTACGCTGTTGATAGGAAATATAGCCACGGCAGTACGACTGCTCGTCTTTAACGTGTATCATGCAGTAGTGATGCAAATCTAGATCATAATATTTTGTCAAGCCCATGTATTACGCTTATCGCGCTTACTATAGGTTTGCTGATAAGGTCTGTTTGACAGGGTTAAACGAAACGATGGCTGTTGCCATACCCTTCTTATAGGGCGGTAGCTCGCGCCACCTAGCCTGAGAGCATTCGTACCCCTTCCAATGGGTGTTTGGTGTTTACCTTCCTGGTGCGAGCAGTGTCTTAACTATAGTCCTGGTCGCTTTATAAAGCCGAGATATGAACTCGGGCGACATTTTTAAGGGATAACGTGTTGTGGCATTGAAACCGCTTCTTGTTCGTTTGTCCACAGGGAAACTCGACCTTAAAGCGCTGCTTAAAACAACTTCAAAGAAGATGAATCATGCTGCTGCATACAATCGGCTTCTGTCCACCTTGTGGAAGGTAAGAAATACGTCCATATAAATAAATAAATAAATAAATAGATATTTGTTTAAAAAACCGTGACACCTAGACTACTGATGTTTCTGCAGTACAGTTATGCGGCCAGTGGCACATAGAATAGGGGAATAACTGTCATGATAAGTCGGCAAATTAACTTCGTTTATTAATGTTTTATTCAGAGAAAATAAAAAAAAATATTCTGCCAGGTATATTGTCACGGGTGGTGACCAAAAGAACAATAAACACACAGAAAGAAATAAACGTTTAATATGGCGAACTTGTGCCAAAAATAAACGGGTACAAAAGATAATAACAGAGCGTCGCGGGCGTCGAAGTCGGCGTGGCAGCAGAGTCGAACGCTGGTGCGAAAACCGACTCCGCTCGCCTTGCGGAATCCCTTATGTACCCTCGTGGGTTTCTGGATCGTTCGGCGTAGAAGGTTCCGCGCGTAGAACATTCTAACCTCGAATCGCAAGACGGTTCTCGAATTCACCAGAACATCACATTACAGTGTCAACAAAAATGCGTAGCCGCGGCCAGGAATCAAACCCTGGCCTTCTGCGCGTAAGGCAAGCGCGATTACCGTTAGGCCACGCGCGCGCTGCCTACATGGCCAGCTGCGCGCGCGGCAATATGTTCTTGCTCTAACATCATAAAAACCGCTGAATCGTAAATGATCGTGAGTCTGTGGGAGGCGCGGTAGTGCGTTAAAGATAGCACTCGTGCAGCAGGCACAGAAAAGCCGCACAGGTACGTTCTCGCACCAGCAATCAGGCAGCCAGATTTGTTGAGTACGCGAGTGAACTCAGGAGAAGCGTCGGCTCCAGGACAGCAACCTCTGTTGATGATCAACCTCGAAGAGTGAGTTCCCCTGGTCAGAGGCAAGGAGGAGCGCCTGTACCTTCAAACTGTAAAGAAAGCATGAAGGTCCAGAGGGTAACACAGGTAACACAAGAGACTATCCATGAAGTCACTTACCCTTTACCTCGCACCTTTTCCTAATGAGCTCAAACCATTATTGGCGCATTGAGGTCAAGATCACAGGATCAGAATCTATCAGTTTAAAAATAATTGGCCCCAGCAGACGCGAAAGTTGCGTTTGAGGATTCTGAGGATGGAACAATGCGCGCATTCGGAAGAAGGAAGAAGAAGCCAACTGGGCGTAAGACGTGTCTTTTCGATCGTCCGAAAGCCAGCCGGACCAGTGGCACAGACCATGTCTTCGATCGACATGGTGCTCAGGCTGCTCAGTTACAAGCTGGACCGCAGGCTGAAAGGCTCCAAGGCCCGCTTTCGTAAAGACCGGCGCTCGGCCAACACCGGCGCCAACCCCTGGAGCCCGCCCGCGGGGGTGATGGATTCCCTGCGTCGCCCGTAATTCGGCCGGCTACTATGCAAGTCGGACACGCGAGGAGCCCACTCCAGGTGTTTGAGACCGGCCTGCTAGAAGTAAGGAGCCAATGACAGCACCGCGAAGACCACAACCGCGAAGAATGCAATTAGGCCTAACGCACATATCCTAATCATAAGCACTCTCATCTTGTATATTACATCATCACATAATCCTCTTCACTAGACGCGGCACCACGGGCCTCCTTGGTACGGGCTGTTGCCTTTCTGCGGTGCCGCGGCTCTCCTGAGCAAATAAAGATTATTATTATTATTATTATTATTATTATTATTATTATTATTATAAAAGAAAAGCAAGTTGGTTCATGACCTAAGAAATTAGGAACAGCGCGCAAAAGGACAAAGACAACGAGAGTAGAACACGGGAGGAGCGCTCGTCCTGTGCTCTACTTTCGTTTTCCTCGTCCTCTTGCGCGCTGTTCCTAATTTTTTAAGTTTTGAACGAGCTCTGGAGCAAACGTTAAGCCACAGTAGGCAGAAAAGTGACTTTAGTAAAGCCCAACGTAGGTCAATGCTTCTCAATAAAACCAGCAGTATCTAGCTTCTTTGGCCAAGGGAGTGTCTGCGCTTGCTTGAAAACTTGCTGATACATTTGCATGTCAAAACCTCCTGAATTGGCGATTACGGAAGATGTTCCATTAGAACGTTCCGAGCGTTGGCGTCACAATCCTTTACTCAAGAAACAACTCTATCTTCAGACAAAGGTGGGGTCAGTCTGTAAAATTCGGAGGACGTCACCAGAACTTTGCAAGCTCTAAGCGTTATATGCCATTCAGGAACACGAAAGAGAAAAAAAAAAAAAAAAACGGACAATAAGGCGCATAGAGGCGGCCATACTTGGGGCTGTCCATTTGGACTTTTGTTTGCATTTGGAGGTTGCGTTTTGCTCGTGCTTTATCTCCAGTTATTTTATTCGGTATCTTGGCTCCAAGTATGCAATCGGTTCAGGTTTTTCCTCGAGATTAACGATCTCTAGTTCCGTATATTGTTCCGGACATATTTTTTTCCAAGGGTTGAAAAATGTGTTTGAGATGCTGAGTACAAGATAGTGAGAAATGCACTTAGATAGAGTAAAAAATACCTTAGAGGAAATGTATTTGAAAGACGCCAAAATACTACCAAAAGTTCTTCGAATACAGAATCTTGACTATAGTATTTCAAACAGGCACAAGTCTGCCACAATGTCTTGTTTTGACAAAATTAAGCTTAGGTAGACATTGGTACTAAAAAACCGTTTCTTTTTTTTTATATTGCCGCGTGCATGATCGAGGAGATACGCGTCTTCGTTCATCTAGAAGATTCGCGTACACTCTTACGCCGTGCGTAAGGAGGCCAGAATGACCTGGTCAGTCAGCCTCGCCCTAGCTCTTTCTCGAAGATTATATTCGAGATGACGAGCATAGGAGATAAGCAGCCGATCGCTGCATTGCCGATTCATATCCAGCGATAGCCAGCTTTTACACCGACGTACCGTCGCTTGCTCCTTCCTTCGTCCACGCTAGCTGCTGGTCTCTCGACGTGTGTCCTGCTCTCTTCCGTTTCTGGCATAAGTTCGTCTCCATTAAATATTTAGTTCAATTTGTTTTCTTCCGACTCATTCTCTCTTTCGTGACATTTCTGGTGGAGGTGCGGGGTACCGCGGCCTACAAAGCGTAATCCTCCAAGGCCTCGCACCGCAAGCCCAGCCCCCGGCTCAAGAAGACCGTCCGTTGAGACAAGCGAGAGCAGAAAAGCCGCCACCCCAAAAAATCTACCGGACCTTAAGTGGAAGATCAAAGCAAATATGAGCTCCCGGGACCGGCAAACTGAGACTCCTACCCGCTTACTCCCCCGTCGTTTACTTCCCTGTCACCCCTGCACACCGACGCCTTTCGAAGGCGAAATCCACGAGGACGTCGAGGACTGGATCTAACACCACGAGCGCGTTGCACGCCACAATGGATGGACTGCCTAGGAGTACATGCAGAACCTCTACTTTTCGCTGGAAGCTACTACGAGGAACTGGTTCAAGAACCACGAGGCTTCGCTCACGTCGTGGGATATCTGCGTGGCCGAGTTAAAAGTGGACCTTTACAACCCAACACCCGATGACAGCGGGCGGAGGATCTGCTTCAAACGCGGATTCAGGCACCCAACGAAAGCGCAACCAACTTCGCGTATGATGTATGCCTAAGTGCACGTGCCGACCCGCATGCCACCGACGAGAAAACGTGGAGCTTTCTCACGGAGATTCGTGAAGAGCGACATCTTCGGCAACCTCGTCCGCAACCCTCCAAAGATAGTTGACGGGTTTGTTGCCGAAGCAACAAACATCGCCACTAGCATCGGCTCAACGACGTCTCAACTTTGGCATCGGTCCGCTCCGAGATCAGACAGCGCCGACGAGCTTCGCGAGATCATCCGCGACGTTGTTCGCGAAGAACTAAAAAATCTGGTGCCTTCTGCCGAGGATCGCTGTCCATCGACAAAGTCGTGCGAGAAGAGTTTCAGAGAGCCGTCGAACCACCGGCTCCTGTCAACCCTGCGCCGCTCCAGCAACCGACCCTGAGCTACGCCACCATAGCCCGACGATCGCCGACAGCAACCCGCCAGTACCAACACCCGGTGCCCCCTCGGCGGAAAGCCCCTACGCCGCATTACGCTCGGTGCACTGGGGAACAAGCTCCGTACGTCCGAGCCGAACCTCCGGCACCAAGGAAGTCGGACGTGTGGCGCACGGCTGATTGATGCCCGCTGTGCAAGCACTGCGGCGAAGTCGACCTCGTGTACCGGCGATACCCCTACCGGCAGCTTGAGGTTCGTGGGTTCGCAATGAACGCCCCCCCCCCCCCCCCCCCACACACACACACACACATACACACACACGTACACCAACCGAGGAGCGGGGAATGAGCGCGGGACATCAAGGAGTACCTGCATCGCCCGCCGCCACCAGCACCCGCTTCCTCCGGAGATCCCTTTCGCCGACAGCATGACGTCCCTTTCGCCATTTCGTACTTCCCACCGAGACAGCTCTTCTGCCCTACCTCGTTGGAAAACCAAGTTCGGCAACCCCTGGAGGTGGATTTTCCAAAGACAACCGTCAGAAACATCCTCCAAGAATGTCGGATTGCCCCCACTCTAGCGACAACAAGCGTCGTCGCGGGATTTTCAGAGCCGACAGACAAGAAAGTCGTGCGAACATACCTTCAATTTTGCGCCTACTATCGAGCTTGGTTCGGGATTTTGCAAGGATTTCCGAACTGCTCAGAAACCTCACGAATGACGCCGAGAAGTTCGGATGGGCCGAGGAGCAGCAGCAGGCATTCGACGATCTGAAGCGAAGACTCCAGACTCCTCCTGTTCCTCGACACTTTGATAAGGATGCGGAAACCGAGATTCACACGGACGCTAGTAATGCAGGACTTGGAGCGGTACTGGTTCAAGTGCGAAAAAGCACCGAGCGAGTCATCGCCTACGCAATTCGGACACTGTCCACGTCGGTCAGAAATTACTCTACGTTTGAAAAATAATGTTTTGCAGTCGTCTGGGCAATCACGAAGTTCCGGCCGTACTTGTACGGAGCCCGTTCCGCGTAGTCACAGACCATCACTCGCTCTGCTGGCTTGCGAACCTCAAAGACCCTTTAGGGCGCCTCGCTCCATGGAGTCTCCGACTACAAGACTTCACCCTGACCGTAGTCTACAAGTCAGGCCGCAAGCACAGCGACGCCGACTGCCTGTCCAGGGCCCCTGTTGAAAGACCTTCCGGCAGCAGCGATGACGATGACGAGTGATTCGTAGGAGCAGTGAACACCGATGACATGGAACAACGTCAACGAGACGATCCGGAGCTGCGCGCATGAATCGAGCACCTGAAAGGGCGTGGGAGTACTGTACCGCATATTTTCTTACGAGCCCTGCCGACCTTTGCCATTCGACAAGGTGTACTCTACAAAAAGCAATTCGGGGACAACAACTCCCATGGCTGCTGGTAATTCCGACCAACATTAGAGAGGAGATCTTTCAAGCATGTCACGACGACCTCACGTCTGGATGCCTTGGTTACAGCCGGACACTGGCCCGTATTAGTGGAACTTTTTACTGGATCAAGCTCCCCAAAACCGTCCATCTCTACACCCGATCATGCCACCAGTGTGAGCAACGCAAAAAACCGCCAACGAAGCCGGCAGCTCTCCTGCAGTCAATTCCTCCGCCAACTGCACCGTTCAAGCAGATCGGAATGGATCAACTTGGTCCTTTTCCACTGTCGACCCTGGGAAACCGTTGGATAATCGTTGCCACAAATTATCTCAAGCGGTACGCAGAAATGAAAGTCTTTCCTTCAGAGAGTGCTGTTGAAGTCGCCAAGTTTTTCATCGAGTCCATCGTCCTACCGCATGGCGCTCCCGAGGTTCTGATTACAGAACGCGCATCATCGTTCATGGCACAGCAGACCCAAGATATATTTCGGCTCAGTCACATCAGCCAACGTCGGACCACTGTGTATCATCCGCAGACCAACGGGCTGATGGCTCTATGAACGTCGACGTAAAGCACAAGACGTGGGACGAGGTGTTACCCTACGTCAAGTTCGCCTTCAACACGGCGGTTCTAGAGACCACTGTATTTACACCTTTCGAGCTGGTACATGGTCGGAAGGTAACGACCACTCCCGACGCTATGCTGCCCCATGAGCCAAATGACAATGAGAGTGACGACGTCCAGGTGGTTGCTCAACGGGCCGAAGAAGTCAGCCAGCTCGCCCGACACCTGATTCAAAACCAGCAATGCGTCGACGCGGGCGGCTACAACATTCGTCGCAGGAACGTCCACTTCCAGCCCGGAGGAAGGGTGTGAGTGTGGACACCCATCCGTCGACGCGGCCTCAGAGAAAATACTGAAACGGTACTTTGGACCCCACAAGGTACTTGGTCGCCTCGGGGAGCTGAACAGCGAGGTGATGCCCGACAGAACAAGAAAATCATCAAGCCGCCCACCACGACCTGAAGTCGCTCACGTCGTGCGCCTCAAGACGTACTACGCACAATAAGGCTGTGAACTATGATCCTGTGCAACGTTGCAACGTTTGATAAAACTGTGTATTGCCAGCCTCCGCATTTTCCTATTATTTTGTTTGCCATGCTCTGATTTTTTTCTTTCTTTCACGTGGCATTGACACGATACTCTCTTTAAACGGGGAGTAGTGCCACGCTCCTCGGCGAGCGAGCACATGGGTGGACGAGTGGTTACCGCGCTTGACATTCGCGCGGGGGCCCAGGGTTCAATTCCTGGGAGCTCTTCCCGGAACATTCGAGGTCGACTATTCGAGATGACAGACAAGCATAGTAGGTAAGGAGCCGATCGCTGTATTGCCGATTCATTCACAGGTTATCTCTAGCGATATCCAGCTGTTACGCCGACGTACCGACGCTTGCTGCTTCCGTCGTCCAGGCTCGCTGCTGCTCTCTCGACGTGTGTACTTCTCTTTTTCGTTTCTGCCACAAGTTCGCCCCATTAAATCTTTAGTTCATTCCATTTTCTTCTGCCTCATCGTCTGTCATTTGTGATAATATTTGATCCAGGTAACGTCATGTTCTCAAACTCTGACGTTCTGTCTCAACGCTAGCGTCTTATTTCGATAAAGGTTCAGCTTTCTGCAATGAGGAGTTTTTGTATGCGGAGCAAAAACTTGGGTTCCGTGTTCGCAATCGAAGCCGGTACATTCAGGTACTTTATAAATTATAACTAGAGTTTCTTGATTTCGGAACTTATTTATTGTGAAATTCGAGAGATGCTTTTCGGAGTTTCTTTTTCGTCCTATATGCAAAGTTTTTCGGAATTTATTAAATATAATGTCCCGTCATGAAGGCGAATTTATTTTAATGAAACTATCGAGTGATATATGAATTAGGCGTTGGCGCCCTCGCCGTTGATATCCCTAATTATAAAACTTCCAGAAAAGTGCTCCTTAACTAGACGTCCATACCTTAAAATCAGAAACCTCTTGGCCCTAGAAGCTGGGAAACTCGTTTCCTTTCCATCCCATTCACCTATTCTGCCTGCTGCATCGGGTAAAATGCTTTAGTGATTCAAACTCACCAACTGCCCTCCCACCATCTCCAATAGAATATAGGAGCTCATACTTCCAGACCCTGTACCGAAACAATTTGTAGACTCAAGAACCAAAGATTTGGACAATCATTGGCCAATCACTGGCAATGGTTCTTTGGCCAGCGGCCAGACAGTGGCCAGCCATTGGCCGATGACTGGCCTCTCCCTGGCCATTGGCCACTGGTCACTGGCCATCACCCATCGGCCAAGCATTGGCTGATGCATGGGCACTCTATGGGCATTGGCCAAAAGACCATCGCAAGACATTGGCCAATGCTTGGCCTAAATCCGTGCTGCTACGTTTCTTACTTTTTTTTTTTTCTTTTTGACATCATGATCTCTAAACTCGGTGTTTATCCGATAAATCGGGATTAACGAAAATTTGACCGGTGGGTGTTTTTCGGAGTGTTTCGGATTTATACGAAAACATAAAATCCTATTTTGTAACCCTCGCAATATTACTGTGCAGAAATTCACCACCAGGACAACGGACATCATTGATCCACAGGAAAACTTTCTTCAGAACGGAGGAAGTACCCTGAGGGCTTCCACCATCTGTCAAGAGATGGAGTTCGCTACAAAGCGCCCCCTGCCACTTTTGGCCGGCAAGCTTTTGCATGAAACGTTCGGGGAAGTCAACGCTTACCTGAACGAAATCATCGAAGGAACCATTCCACGAGATTTCGGTTTGAAAGGTTAAGTTGCTTAATTAAAGCGACACTAAAGTAAACTTTGAGATCTTGTTTTTATGGCAATAATTCAATCGACGCGCGCCCTGCGTCTCTGAAATTATAATTGTGATCACGCATCACATTTTATGCAATTAGAAATACGACCAGAAATTCATGACACACCCTTTTTTCTAGATATCTCAGAAAAAGGGGCGCGTCGCAATGCTTCATCGCATTTGATTAGGCTAAAGTATAGCGCACGATTGTAATGTTGGATTTTCTAGGGTGCTTAGGGTGACTTGATTGGGGTTGCGCTATAAATAGACGATCTCAAAAACACTTTAGTGCTCCTTTAATTTGAGTGACTAGAGCCGTTTATGTTGCTTAGGTTGCATAATGTGGTTAGGACGCATAAGAAGCTTGGGTAGCATAGGCTGTTTACGTTACTTAAAGGGGAAGCTCTGGTCGGAATCAAAAAACAAAATAAATTACTCGTATCTGTTTATTTGCACGAAATATGATCACAGCCGAAATATTACGTAAAAGTGAAGCCGCGTATTCCCCTAAAATCACTTTTAGAGATGCACCGAGCTGCTCTTTAGTGAATGGCAGGCGGGTTAGCTTTTCGTCAAGGAACACTGGGTGGCGCATCCAGGTGACGTCACGTCGCTGTGAAGCTGCGGTTGATTCCGCACGTTGTACAGCGTACCACAGCACCGCGGTGACGTCACGAAGCGGCCGTACGGCTGATGATCAGGGTTGCCATCTCTCTAGCAGATGTATAGTTTCGGTTTTGCCGTAGACGTCCGAAACAAAACTTCGAGCCGCGATATTTAGGAAACTAAACAAAATACCGAGAAAAAAATATACTTTCTTAATCAGGGAGACTGCAGGGGCTGAAAACAGTCGTAATACCCAATTCGACAATTTGGGCAGGAGTTGCCCTTTAAGCTGCTTAGCTTCCAAAGAATGCTGAAGTTTCTTAAGCTTCTTAAGTAGATTATACTGCAAAAATTGCTTAAAATGCTATGGTGTCCTGTAAGTCTCGTGCAGACGCAATGATAAAATGCAATTCATAGGCAAAGAATTTCGAAATCGGCGGTCTCTCGAATTTTCTCCAGAAGGGCGTCTAACAGCTGTTATTTCAACTGTCGGTACGTTTGAACCATGATTTCCTTCTATGTGTTTCGGAAAAGAAAAGGCTGTCCCAAAAGCGTGTAATGCGAAAATATAAAGCGCTATATTTAGTGAACCTACGAAATTTGATTGGTGTATAATTTTACACCAATTCAGTATTCCTGCTAGTGCTATACACTTAGCGGGGAAACGCTTCCCGTCAAATTTAGCTTCACTTTCGACGTTAAGGAGCTCTTAAATAAACGCTCAGTTCCGCTCCAGCCAAGCTGCACAATCTGTCTCCCAACTTTATTCGTAGGAAATAGAGACATTCTTTTCTTTTTTCTTTTAATACATGCTGGATTGTTACTGTTTTCAGATATTTTAATTTTGTAATCTCCGTCTCAGGGGTTTTGTGCCAGGTTCAAAAAGTCCCGGGCTCGAGGTCGTGTCTCAAGAATGGGCTTTCTGAGAGCTTGGGTAACAGATACAATTTGTTGAGCTACCCGCTAGTGTCTGTGCGCTTCACAGATTTGATAATTGTTGTAATTGCTCTACTTGATACGTTGCATCTGCTTTCAATAAACGGAGCAGGAATGGTGGTTTAGGGATCGCGAATTGCCAGAGTAACTAAATGAGCTTCTGACTTGATGCATACACATGCTTATTGCCTAGTTTACTTGCAGTGCATTGTTATAATTTCTAAGAAAAGCTTCAAGCGCTATAACTGAAGAAGCCATCTGTATTTTTATCAATAAAACTTTTATTAACACTTCTACAATTTGAGTTTTTATTATTTATTTCGGTATATAAATACGTTTCACTTTGAATTTTGCATCCTGGGCATTTCTATTCTAGTTCATTTTAGGAACTGGTTGATAAAAAACGCATGTCGTAGACTCTCATTTAACTTTCAAACGTTCTCAAATTATTACAATGTAGTATGTCCCAAACTTGCAGCGCTACGCAAATTGACGATCTGTCGGACGCACGACGTTCCTTTGCCGGAGGTCGCCAAAGCTGCTGCTGTTGTATAGTGAGATGACACTGACCTCACGAGCTTCCATTATGACCGAATTAGAGCCATGAATCAGCAAAAACGACCAAGTGTCTTGAAGCATGAGAGGAAAGCAGTTGCTGTAGAAAGAAAACATTTTTGTCAGAGTCTGTGACCCTTGTCGACGCACAGTGTAGTTCAGTGAAAAGCTTTGACAAGTTCAAATGATCTACACGAAAAATTATTATATGCCTATATCCTCTCACCGACCTTAAGTGGACCCTAAACTAAAAATAATAATTATATTTGAAACCCGAGAGTGTGTCGAGGGATACTTTGAAATACAAAATGCACAGGAAAAGAATTCCTGGGTTTTAAACATCATGATTTACTATCACCAGCTGACCTACACCCTCTGTCTTTTTTTAGTATATCATATTATAAAATACATTACTGTTTAGCTTTTCTCCCAAATTTTCTGTTCTTTAGTGTGTTGACGTTAGTGTGAGCGCATTTACTCACTTACGTTTCACGTATGCCAATAGAAAGCATTTGTTAGGTCCCACCACACTAAATATTTAAGAAGTAAGGAAGTGGAAGCTGAGTTCCTATTTTTATTATTGAATTGCTGACTATGTTGTGGAAACACCACAGAGACACCAATTTTTATTAAATTAACAGAACAATTTTATTTAAGATTAGTCAAACGATTACCGAATTGCACCTGGTGGATGTTCTCAAAGCTTCCTGGAATAACGTCACGTCAATTGTAGGGATCAATGGCGCTGAACCTTTTTAATCGGACGACGGCTTGCGCCATCTAGCCAAATCTTTTAATTTAAAGAACTAATCGGGAAATAAAAAATCAACATTTTAGATATTATTCTGAACTCGAAAATAATAAAGCACGGTCGAGAATTCTTTCCACTGCAAGCATTCATTCAACTATTGCAACATTATCCACAATCGAAAGTTACAATGCGTACAACGTTCGTGCCTCTTCGCAACATGGTGGGCGCACTTTCCGCCTTACAGGTTGATAAGAATGGAGAAAAAATTATAGTTTGCTTGACTTCTGTCACCAGTTCAATAATAGTCCGATAACGAGCGCAGAACCTCGAATCATTTTTTGCCGAGTTTTTCTTTCCTCGTGGAGCATCTGTGCTCTGTTGTTCTCCGTAGTTTTATTTATTTACTTTTATATTTTCTAAATCACGTCTTGGTTGTTTGTTTGTCTGTATCTGTTCTCTCATTTTTTGTAATATGTGCGCACTAATAAGGCCTCGAGCTGTTTGTGGGCACATGAAGCAGAATAAATAAATAAATAAATAAATTTTTTCTGGGCTTCATTTCCTGCCCGCCCGTGTCCCAAGAGCATCGGCTACTCGACGCAGCCCTGGAGTCCCCCACAGCTGAACCCCATGCGAGCATCCTTTTTTTTTTTCGGCAATTTTAACACCTCCATCGACTGGTGTTCCTACGGCGACCTTGCCCCCCGTGACCATTCCGATAACATCCTTCTTGAGACTGGGACCCCTGCTGGTCTGCTCCAAGCATGCCAACAGCCAGTATACATGGCCAGTGACGAGGCACCGAGCTTTCTTCACTTCGTATTCGCTTCGACACACCTTGAAACTGTTGAGGTATCTGAAGGCCTCCACGACGGTAACCATCCTGCTATGGAGCTTCGATTACTACGCAATCCCTTTGCCGCGCAAAGGATATTTCGTGCGTAGGCTATGGAGTTTCTGGCATATTGACTTTGGTCACATGACTCAGCTGACTTCCCTGGCGCCATTGGGTATTTATTTATTTATTTATTACTTTTGCGGTGCCCGTCAACAGCCCAAGAGCCTACAAGAGGGTGCAACGAAGTGCGTACATGCAAGAACACAAAACATAAAAATACAAAATACAAGAACATGCCTAGAAAAAAAAAGTTTACATGTTTGATAACAGCGCAGATGCAAAAACATGCCTAGTTAAAGTTTAAATGTGTAATAACAAAAGAAATGTGATCTCCAACATTGCAAAAACTGATGTGTAGAAGTTTGTCTTCCTAGCTATACTGTTTCAAAAGTACCAACAAAGGAAACTTCCATCAAAAAAGCCTGGTCAGTGCTCGCATGCTAAAATTTTTACGCTCAAAAATATCTGCCTTCGGCGTGTTTACTGCACTCCACATGTTAAAAGCGTACTGAATACGTTCCAGGGGCCGCATGCTCTTTGGCTCAGAGCAGCCGATTACACGATGAGAGCGAAGTGTCCTGCTTGGCAGGGCAATAAACACTGAAGAGGTTAGTTCCGGACAATCAATAAAACCGTGAAGACATTTGTGTAGAAACACAAAATCCCGTATCTGCCTCCTTGTGGACAAGTAATGGAGATGTAAAATATCTATTAAGTGCTCATGGCTGAAGCGAATCCGCCTGTTAAAATAACGATCATAGAGAACTCGAACAAACTTTTTCTGTACATTTTCCAGTTCCGTTGCGTTTTTGTCGTTTAAACAATTCCATATAATGCTAGCGAAGTCTAACTTAGACAATATGAGCGACTGATAAAGGTATAAAAAACAAGAATAAGTCTTAAAGTTGCGAGTCATTCTCGTGATTGCTCCCAAGGTGCGGTAACATGCATTGGTTAAAAATGCCACATGTTCAGAGAACATCAGTTCACTATCTAAGAATACGCCCAAATCTCGCACCACTAAAACGAGCTCAACCAAGCATTTTTCCAAGGTATAATCAAAAACGATACGGGAATGCTTTCTTGAAAAAGATATCAGTTTTGTTTTAATCGGGTTGAGTATCAAACTGTTTTTGTTTGCACCAGCCTGCCAATGCCGCAATATCTCCTTCCAGGTTGTCACAATCAGAAACATCGGTAATAGCTCGGAAAAGCTTAACATCGTCGGCGAATTGTAAAATGTCTGAATGACTAATGCACGCGCTGATGTCATTCACGAAAATGTTGAAAAGCAAAGGTGATAATTTTGAACCCTGCGGGACGCCCGTTGTTGAACAGTACGCCGTTGACTTTACACCACCGTAAGTAACCAAGTTCCATCGATCAGATAGATAACTTTTAAACCAGTCGCAAAGTGGAATAAAGAGACCATAGATTGCAAGTTTCTCAACCAGCGAGGAATGGTTTACCAGGTCAAACGCTTTTTTAAAATCAAAGTAGATAGCATCAACTTGTTGTTTCGACCCTAGCTTGGAGCCCACAAAATCGATGAATGCGGCCAAATTCGTTTCTACAGAGCGATTGGGCATAACGCCATGCTGCTGTATGCTTATGCGCCGAGAAAAAAGCTGCATAAGACGACAGTCCGTGGCTTTTTCGAATAGCTTAGCAAAAGAACATAGCAAAGAAATCGGACGATAGTTACTGACAGACATAGCTGACCCACTTTTCAAAATTGGCACAACGAGTGAAAGCTTCCAAGAGGTTGGAAATACCCCGCCTTTCAGAGACCGATTAAAAATCAAGGTTAAAACCGGAGCCCAAATGCCGCCGCACCCTATCAGTATAAAAAAAGGAATTCCGTCGGCTCCAGCCGATTTTTTTGGCGATAACGCCCGAACCGCTGCCAAAACGTCGTGATTGCTAAGCGAGGAAATTGATAAGCACTCGTTTTCATGATCACGCGTTGTGCTTGTCTGAGACGTCCTTGCTGCGGAATTAAAAATGGAGAATAAATCTGCAAAAACTTCACAGATATCGCTCGGATTGTTGACATGTTGCGACCCACAAGAAAGTGGTATAGCTTGTGTCGTTTTATTTTTGTTCGAGAAATTTCTTGTGTATTTCCAGAAGCTTTGTGGGTTTCGGTGTTTGTGGAGAATAACATAGAGGACGAAAACAGGACGACACGTTTCTCCAACTGGCAGCAT